TTTCTAGCTGTGCACTGATGCTCATCAAGCTTTTCAGGCAAGCGTTCAATTGTAAGTAGTACTTTATTTCAGTCATTGAAGGCTGCTACTGTATGATATGTTTTGCAAAAATTATGTAAATAATAAACCATTCATTCATTCAACCTGCCATTTTAGATAATGCTTAGCCAGCAAATGCTGGTTACAAAGATAGGATTCTTAACCGTCACATGGTGCCAGTGGGGACTTCGGCTTGCCAACAAATTGCACAAAACTTTGGAAAGACTCTGATAGTCTAGTACGTTTCGTGTTACGCGTAATAAATTTACCATCTTCTCCCTTCGTGTTGTACCCTGTTCAGCCCGAGTTTTTTTTTTTTCATTCACATGGAAAAAGGTACAAGACTTGGTGGTCTTGTCTTTGTCAGGCAACTTTAAGACAGGCAAAACAGTATATACAGGAAATTCAAATGCGCAAGTCCGGTTCCCCACCCAATGATAAATGATGGCAAAGAGAGGACACAATACATAGATAACACAGGGGGAAATTGAAATCTTTTAAAAACGTTCTTATGTTCATCCCGAGTTGTAATATATTGTCTTGCTAACTGCACTCTCTAATGTCTTCATTTACGTTAAAGATAATAATGTCACCCTTACGTGTGATTATGTTTAACGTATATCAGGATGTGCTGATGACAATTTCTCTGTACCACATCTGTCGTCAAATGATCATCATTTTTGGTTTACTTCAATTTTTACCTCAAAACAAACCACTTACATGTTTTGGGTTACATTAATGAACTGTAAAGACAGTTTTTGTTTATCTCACACTTAAAAAGATTAATGTTGTACCCATATGGGAAGCATTTATTGTATCATCTGCACAAATACAGCTCATTAAAGCACAAATATAGCTCATAAACATTAACCTACTTTGCGAAAGTATCATTAAGAACAAATCCCTGGGAAGTACATTGATTTACCATTTGATACGAGATTCGCGAACATGTAATAAATATAAACAGCAAACATAGTGTAAAACATGCCAGTTACCAGTACGAAAAGGTTTTTGCTGGAACGTATCGATAGTTATCTTGATCACTTTCGTGAGTAGAAAAAGCACGGGGGAACAAGTAAGTAGATGGACTTTTATCAGACCCGTGACAACCAATGGCCCTTAGTATCTATGACATATCCATTGCGGTTGCCGGTTTCATTAACGTGAATGGTACAAACAGACATCACGAACAATCACCATGTCGGGACGGGTATGCGTAGATTAGGTCATCAGAAGGCGCGTGAAAGAAGCCATGAAAAGGCCGGTGTGGCGGTTGTAGTCGAGGTTACGGTTGAATGACCATCCACGGTTACCCGGAGATTAGAGCCTGAGGCACAGCCGTAAGGTACAAATCCCCTGCGAAATTGACTATCAATCTAAACACAGCACAGGACAGATATCAGGACATTAGCTGGTCGATGGAGCCTCCGTATGTTCCAAACGCCACCGGACGTTGCATTTCTAACGAGAACTCGAATATTTCAACCTCGGGGAAGTGCTTAGAGTTGTTTTTGTGAATTTATTGACACGCCCAAATAGATGAACGTTCAACGACCCCAACAGGGAGCTAAGAAGATCCTAGGATGGAATAAGGCAGCATAAATCAGCCAGGCAGTATCCTTTGGCCAGAGAGGGCATTTGATACTGTCTTATGCCACCCTTGGATCTGCTTGGAGATTATCTTAAACAGTGAGAAACAGCCTGAGCGCTTGTTGCCCTCAAGTTGGCATACCCCAGTAACTGTGGGGGTGAACTCACTTCCTATATTAGCCTGTTTGTCAATTTGCGGTGACCAGATCCCCCATCAAACTTCCCGCCACTCTCAAAACAAAACATTCGGATGTCAACGGGAGGTTGGGCCATAGTTGGGGTCGGGTTGGCTGGTGATTGGGAGTAGACCAGCAGTGGCCGGGACGTGGTTTGCAGTCAAATTTGACTCAACATTTAACTTGAATTCGATTCGATTTGCATAGAAAGGTAGGCGTGGCTTTCAATTTGCAAAGAAAGGTAGGCGTGGCCTGTTAATGAGAACAAGATACACAATGTATTTAGGTCCGCCGAGCAAAATACACATTCCCTCTCGTTTGCTACTCATTTAAATTACCTGAAACCCCCTTGAAAAGTTTATGACAAACTGCATACTATGAAAAGAGAAGTCCAGTGATAAGTCCTTTCACTTCGTATAACTACATCAGGATTTGAGGTACCTCTCCTTCCAGCTGTGACAACTACCTTCCAGGCGCCAGCGAGCTTAAACACGTTCCCACGAGGATTAGAGAAGGTTGATTTATCAATATGAATCTAAATCTACGCGCCAGATTTCCATAGTCCTGTCCGTTTTGATGTATCACTGTGTCTGTAAGGTAAGGCTAAATCAAACGGTAGACTGGTCGCTCGGATTACATAACTCTCATAACTGTGCGGCGCCGTACGTGTGATTGGGGTGACCGTGAAACTCTCTGTAGCGGGAGGCTCTTCGGCAACTGTGCGAAGTCTTTGGCTGTCGGGGCGAGTTCTCGAGTTCTGTTGTGACCAGTTTTGATCGAGAAACGTACAAATATTGATCAGTGATCAGAGCACCTTTAACGTAGTGTCAGTGCCAAATCTCACAGAATACAATACAGGTTCGTTAACGGAAATTCAAATTCTGCACCATTCTTGAAAACCTGATTACAGAAACGGAGATGATGGTGATGCTTCAAACTGATTCTTGGCGCCCTCTGTCTTTTTCTTCAGATTCTTTCTTAGTGATACAAAGACCCGCCGGTAAATGATGTATAGTTCAGTAGTTTGCGGGAAATCCCAGCAGAACGACTGATTTCCTGATGCGATTTCTCCTCGTCACGAGTGTTGTTTGACCCATTGTTCTCACCTCCCATGGAAGTAACAAGAGTGATCACTATCGCACCTGCGAGAGAGGAGGAGATAGATTGGCGCATTATTAGATCAGAACGCCCGGAAAGAAGTCCATTATGTCTTCATCCAGCAACCAGATTTATCCCCAGCTTGGCGGCCATTAGGAACATTCTTCACCGCCTGCCCGAACTGTGATAACTGAGTTCCCGTCGCTGAGCTGACAGCGGCGTTGACAAGACAAACAGCTCTTCCATCTCCCGGGCAGGCTTCTCTTTATACCCACCGTTCTCGTGTTGGTCTCCCCTGGCAGAGGCTTCTGTAAGCAGACTTTAATCGTCTGGGCTGATTTACTGCGAGAGTCAGACAGAAAATCTCTCCTTCCGACATGTCAACAGATCCTAATACCGAGACAAATCGCGCGCGGGCAGGCCAATGCGCTATAGGTAGATGATAAGAAGCCGCTGTCAGTGTTAACCGCAGTCTGCTAGCTGCAGGCCACTTGAGCGGCCGAAAATAAACATGAACATGCGAGCTTAGCTTACTGAAGAGCGAATACCACTAATGGATTTTCCTACCTTGATATATGGGAATTATGTCAGAGTAAAGTGGTCTAAAGTTATCTGAGTTCTAGGCCTTGAAAAACACACATTGGCAGGGTAGCCAAACCTCTAAAGTGTCCATTTAGCCTTCAGCATTTGGCTATTTTTCAAGTAGTTTCTGGTAGTTACTGAATAATGGTAACGAAACCGTATATAGTCAGAACAGTCACGAACTGTTTAAAATTTAAGTTTTGGTATGTAGTATCATCGTTGGAGTTTCCTCACATTGCCGCCTCTGCCAATGTCTCCAGGTTCAAATTTCACAAGGAAGTTTTCGATCTTTGCCAGCTAAGAGCATCATGAATTCGACTCACGGAAAAGGAAAATTCCAGGCGAGTGAACAGACTAAGACGGCAGTTAGTTTTGGCAGCCCTCTCTCTTTTACAAACTTAAAACTCCACCGGTTAATCACCCTCTTCTCATCTTCCCCTCTCGCTGCCCTTTGGCAGGCGGTGAGGCCTAGGAAAAATGTTGTGTTTCCTGTTTTAGTCCTGAAAAAAGTAGGTCGGTAGGTAGGTATTATCTTTTTTCTTTTACCTTGGCGACCTCTCTCTATATATATGTAGCTAGTGAAACATTCAAGACAGTTTAACAAAGTAAAACTTGCACGAGGACACTTATATTTTCATTTTGTACAACGTTTCTTCGCTGAAGTGTCAGATCATGGAGCTAGAAATGGTTGATCAGCTCGAAAAAAAATATGTCCCTTGCTTAGCAGGTTTTTCTAGGGTCGCTCGGGAAACACGAAACACAACATTTTTCCTCGGCCTGATGAGTTACCGCGAACCCCGGGTAAAGTGGCAGCCCGGGAGCGCGGCAGTTCGCTAACCTGTTATCTCTCCTCACACGCGCTCGCTGGCGTCAGGAAAATGAGGCCACATCATCATTTGTTCTACTGTATCTGCAACACACATACAGTAAACGAGTGTTTCGTCCTTCTCAAAGTGAAATAACTACTTCCCACCCTTGCCACGACTAACATGAAGCTTTCACTGTAATCTACATTGTACGATTGTTTCAGTAAGCCTACGTCTAGACCGATTTCTTCAAGGGCACACTGTGTTCTGGGTTTTCGGGTTTATAAACCTGCTGAATCTTAGAGCTCTCCAGTGTCACTGACGAAATTTCGAAAGGTAGTGGACGCTACCTGAAACGTCTGGCCGTTTCCAAAAGCATATCCAGTTGCTTGAGTGACTGTTTTTATGTTTGCCGAAGGAAAACCTATTGTTTTTGCTCTGTTTCCTCTTCTTCTTCTCCAAACAAATAAGGTCAATGACCTAAACCAGACGTCTGTCACCATGGTAACTGGTATTGGGTTACATCATGTTGCAATTTTATAGCAGGAGGGATTTAGACTCCTGTCACCATAGACATGAATGTGTTTGAGTAAGAATTATCAGAATAGACTATATGCGAAGGTAAACAATATGCATTTGCTATGCAAATGTTTGCTTCTCTTATTACCTGGATGTCTAACCTTCACCGACGTACTCTGTTCTCTTACAGAAAACATGGTTGGCGACTTCATGTGCCGAGTGAAGAACCTGGCACAGGGACTATCGGTGGCGTCTTCCGTCTTCACTCTGACGGCAATAGCTGTCGATCGGTAAGTACCCACTTTCTTAAGTGCCTGTCACACAGTCACGAATTTGGCCTCCCGAACGCTAGCCGAACGCCTGCCAACAATGGTTAGGAATAGGTCGTAGCAAAGTCGTTTGGTGTTCGCGAGTTCGGCTACTAGTACTTACTTCAGAACAATATTTGGAGGGCAAACAGAGACTGATTAGACATCGAATCACGTCCAGAAGCTCTTGTTCAAGTTTACAAACTCCATTTGAAGGGTTCTGTGCTATCTCAAGATCACTAGATCTATGTATGTATCCTTTGACATGTCACCTCCAGCTGAAATGGCTTGGAACCTTAAGAAGTTCTTAATATAATAAGCTTGACAAGTTTGAAAACTCCTTTTGATGGGTTGTGAGCTCTCTCTGATGCATTCTGTGACATGCCACTGTCAGCTGACACGATTTGGCATATCCACAAGTTCTTGTTCAAGTTTAAAAACTGCCTTTGGTGGGTTCTGTGCAATATCTAGATCTATGGGTGTATTCCCTGACATGCCATCACCAACTGAAATTGGTTGGAACCTTCAGATGTTCTTAGCTTGCCAAGTTTTGAAAAGCTCCCTTTGACGGATTCTGAGCTCTGAGCTCTCTCTGAATGTATTCTTTGACATGCCACCGACAATTGAAACGTTTTGGCACATCTACAAGTTCTTGTTCAAGTGCCTTTGTTGAGTTTTGTGCTACATGTATCTCCAGATCTATTTCTCTGACAATCCTCCGCCACAACTGAAAAGGTTTGTGGATGTAACATCCAGAATTTCTTGTTCAAGTTTGGAAGCCTCCCTTTGATGGATTTTGTGTTATGCCTGAAGAGCGAGCCAGCTGAAGGCGTTTGGCACGCACAGTTCTCGTTAAAGTTTGTAAACTGCCTTTGAAATGAGATCTGAGCTCTCTTTATGGATGCCTTTTTAAAGCTTTGACATGCCACTGTCAGCTGAAACGATTTGGCACATCCACAAGTTCTTGTTCAAGTTTAAAAACTGCCTTTGTTGGGTTCTGTGCTATATCTAGGTCTATGAATGTATTATTTGAGATGTCACCGCTAGCCAAAAACGTTTGGAACTTTCAAAAGTTCTTAGCTTGCCAAGTTTGAAAAGCTACCTTTGATGGGTTCTGAGCTCTCTCTATGAAATTGTATTCTTTGACATGCCACCGACAGCTGGCACGGTTGGTTCGGCACGCCCAGGAGTTCTTGACAAGTTTGAAAACTGCCTTTGATGGATTTGGTGTTATCTCTATGAATGTCTTCTCTGACACGAAATGACATCAGCAGCTGAAACCGTTTGGCTTGCTGATGGAGCGTCCAAAATCGATATTCTCTCGGATTTCATACAGGCTTACCGCTGAAAACAGCTCCGATGCTACTGTGCTCACTTATGCCATTTTGCACTTATCTTCGTGACTAAAACCCAATTTTGAGATAGCTTAAAATCGAGTGAAAGTGCGTCAAAGTTAACAGTAATATATCGACAAACTCTCAGCAGCCTTACCCCTTCTATTGAAGCTCGCAGATATCAGCGATGAACTGTCAACGCGAAAATCTGCTTTGATGCGGTAACATTGGGGCGGTCGATACAAGGGATTTCTGCAAAGCCGGCGAGGAATATCTGGGATAGAGATGGGGCAGGGAGATATAATATCATAGAGATGGAGTAAGGTGACCTCTGCCGATGTTAGTTGGTGTGTGTGTGTGTGTGTGTGTGTGTGTGTGTGTGTGTGTGTGTGTGTGTGTGTGTGTGTGTGTGTGTGTGTGTGTGTGTGTGTGTGTGTGTGTGTGTGTGTGTTACTTAGTACTTTATTTGCAAAGTCATGCCCGAAGGCTTCAAACATGGCATACCTTTGAAGATACCTTACTTGGGGTATATATAATGTGTGTGTGTGTGTGTGTGTGTGTGTGTGTGTGTGTGTGTGTGTGTGTGTGTTACTTTATTTGCAATCTCATGCCTAAAAGTTACTAGCCTTACAGTCAAAGATGCTCCATTACAACAATAGGGAACAGACAACTACTGTCTATCTCATACTTATAGTTTAAGTTATACTACTACTACGCTTGATATTAAGAGGTTTGAATTCCAGGGTCTAGCATCCAGGCTACATTTGGGTGTGGTACTGCCATCCAATATCCACCTACTCACTACCCTTCTCCCACGCTCCCCTCTAGTTATCATCTCACATTACACGCACCGCCTGCAACAAGCGTCATTTTACGATTTCTGACGTATGTCATACATTCCGTTAAACATTCCGTCATATTACTCAGCCAGGGGGCAACTTGTCAACTTTCTTGATGTAAAATGTCTTCTCGCGAACAAGCAAAACAGAGTACTTAGGATGCAGAAAACGTCTCTTTCCCATACATACAACCTTACATCGCACCGGAGCACTAACTTAAAGGGTCTTTATACATGGTAGGATGGATCCCTACAATCGTTAGCTTGTTATTTTATCTCCAGGGTTAAATGAACGGTAAACTACCCCCGGCTCCAGGTCAATGGGGTGATCTGGGGTGACCTTGGGTGAGCACAGAATCGGAAAAGGAACATTAATGACAGTCGTGAAGTTATCGTCTCACATTGCACGTGTCGCCTCCAACAAGCGTCATTCTACGACGTATTTCTGACGTATGGAAAACATATTATACATAACTCCGCCAGGGGGCAACTTGTCAGCTTTCGTGACGTAAAATATCCTCTCGAGAACAAGACAAACAGAGTCTCTCGTATTTAGGATGCAAGAAAGGTCTCTATCCCATACAACATTACAACACACCTAAGCACTAAGGGTCATCATGTACGCTAGAATGAGTCACTACAATCGTTAGCTTGTTATTCTATCCACCAGGGTTAAATGAACGGTAAACTACCCCCGGCTCCAGGTCAATGGGGGTGATCTGGGGTGACCTTGGGTGAGCACAGAATCGGAAAAGAAACGTTAACATTTATATGACAGTGGTAATAGAACCCCAAGCACGTTTACTGGCGGATGTACAGATATATGTTTGACGGCAGGAGGGATTTTGTTCTTATTTCTAATTCAGGTACAAGCGCGCCGAGTAAAAGGCTAATGCCAACCTTGACAGTTTGATATAAGGGTGTAACTCTTATATCATGGGGTGAAATGAGGATAGGCGTGCGTGTTTTCTTTTGTCCCTGGAAAGACTTGCCATGTTTAGCTATACCTCATCAATGCACAAGTGTTTTATTACATTGCTATAAAAGGGACGCGTTTCTAATATATCAACAAAAACCTTGAGCTTTCTATTGCAGTATTATGGAGTTTTGCACATAAATTTTACAATTGTGTGTTCTATATTAGGCTGTGTTGGTTTGATTATATGGATAGCATCCGCGCGCGCATGAATTTTCGTCCGTTTCAAAAAAAAAGTTTTTGACCATACTGTAAATCGTACAAAGCAGCTGCAAAATGAGTAAATATATGCCATAATTTGGAAAAGACTGTTGGAAAACGATTCAAAAAATCTATTCCAAAGATAAAGAAGAGAATGTGAAGAAATGAAAATGGAGACAAACTCTATTTACGTTCAACTTTCATGACCACGCACGCCTAATGAAGACAACTTTGTTTGCCAAACGTTTTTATTCGCACGCTCGCATCAGTTTGGAGGTTCCCGGAGGATATCATCCATATGATCAATTAGTTCAACATGGCCTAATTAAAAAATTCATTTTATGGATGTGTGCGCGCGTGCGTTAATCATTGGTTCTCCCATTAAAGAAAAAATCATTTGCGTCCCTGTCTTTAATTGCTCGATGAAACGCAACAATGCGCACACATCAGTAACAATGTCTTTCCTTTACAAAAAGTGCCGTAAAATTTGAATTAGAGAGCACCTCGTCGTAAACGTAAGCACTGGTGTCGTAAATACATATCATATCGCAAAACGTGCTGATGTTGTCCCGCTCACGCTGAGGCGTGGGGTCGCCAGATGATGTCATGGATGAAATTAAGATTGTGTCGCCCTCTGCCCTTTCAATTAGGACTACCCACGCAGGGAGGGTGTGTTAAACTGAAGGGGTGCACTGTCTTTACTATTCCCCAAGACACCTGTATAAAACACGGGGACTGTTACGACCCTGTAACAGTACTTTGCACCTACGTCGGTGAAGGTTAGACATCCAGGTAATAAGACACGCAAAAAAACAGTTACTCAAGCAACTGGATATGATTTTGGAAACGGTCAGACGTTTCAGGTAGCAGCCACCACCTTTCGTCAGTGACTTTTGAGTATACTTCGTGGGTACTTTCCTTTAAAAGTCCAACCTCCCTGTCGCTGCGGATTATGTAAAGACGAGGTACACGGTATGGAAATACAGCTAGGGAATGGATGTTTTCAAAGGGAACCCGGCTTTTAGCAGTGACCTATGCAGAGTAAACGGTAAGGAGCAGCAGTATTTCGCGTGCTCGCGGTCTCCTGAGGAAGTTAGAATAGCCTGCGGAAACCTGTGGCAGGCTTTTAGCGGTGACATGTGATGAAGAAAAGGTGCAGCGTCTGCTGATGGATTGATATAAAATGTCCGCGTTTTCACGGGATCAACTGTATCTAAAGCACCTGTCACACATTCAGCACCTTCCCCTGAACACCACCCGACCAAGGTTAGCTGAACTTTCTTCATTGATGTTTTCAGCAGTTTTGAGAGTGAAAAAAAAAAAAACGTTTCGGTGGTGAACGTTTTTAACGCAGTTTGTGTGACAGGGAGAAATTTGTACATCAACACATTTACAGTTAAGCCCCTGACACACATTCAGAACCTCCCCCGAACATACAGTCGACTAGGTTGGCTGTAGTTCGGGAGCAGTGTGACCAAATTTAGGCCACGCCTGCCGTTCTATACGAATCCAATCGAATTTGAGTTCAATTTGAGTCACATTTGACTGCCATCCATGCCACGACCGACTCACGAACACCAGCCGACCTTGGCTCAACCTCCGTCCATTCCCAAATGTTTCAAATATGTTGAAA